CTTGGGAACGTTGCTCTAGCGATTCCCGATTTTCGAGAAAACCCGCTGTAAGTGAGTTATGCCTACCTTATCTTTAGTATAGCTTATGTTTCAGTATAGTAATGTTATTAGGACCTTATAATGAGTATTTAGGCTATTATTATGAGTTATATAGAGTCTTTATAATATTTTTTTAACCACTCACGGTACGGGGAATCTGGTTTAAAGGGCCGCATAGGGTTGTTGGATTGCAGAAGTGCTATATGCCAAAATGGTCCTGCCCTCCGGTGTTTTATGTTTGGCCCGTGTCTGTACATAGTGGGTGAAGAATATTGTTTAACGCTTATATAATAGTAATAATAGCTAGACTATAAATTATTCTCGTCAAACATTAGACTAAACCCTAGTGGTAATGATACTAGGTTCTGTAAAAGGAAATCGTTTTAAGTGTAACGAAGCGCTGTTTGAGTTCGGAATCACCACCTTAAAAAGTGAGTGCATAGTTGCTTTCATCTTACACATATATAAGAAGTATTTTATACAAATTACGTGCTATGTGTGCATATTATCTGAATACTTGTTGTCTACGCTGGATGAATGATTTTATACATGTTTTAAATGATTTAAACTGTATATGTATATTATATCTACAAAATGTGTTTGGTAAAACATGGGTAGATTAGAGGTGAGAGGAATGATGAGAGATGAAATATGAAAGATGAGATGAATGATGAGCGATGATATATGAGTGATAAAATATGGTGCGAAGCGATGAGCCAAAACGATGACCCAAGCGATGGCCCCATCATCTAGCAGAGTATGGATGACAACCACAGACTATTCTAGACAGTCCAGTGGAACACTAGCAGGCTCGTAACCTGTAGGTGTTGTGAACGATGTGTTCACCAACGTACTCTAAAAACCCATTGACATGTACTGCGAGTGGACTCTCGAAAACGATACTGTCAATAAACGAGATAAACCTTGACGAATATGGAGTTAGCGCCTGTTGAGCAAACCTTGGTAACTATGGATTTAGTGCCCGTTGAGTAAACCCTGGCAACGATGGATTTCATGTCTATTCCTTAGGATAATCGTTAGGAATGAATGAACGAGAAATAGTTGATTCTTAGGATAGATCCCTAAGAATAAAGAAGATAATGAGGATGGGTAATTGGGTTAACTGTTTGATGATTAAACATAATAATTATATTATTGTAGGTTGAAAACCCTATGTACTCACCAGGTTTCCCAACCTGACCCACTCAATTTATTTATATCACAGAGTTCATGACGTGAATACAGTGTTCACGATGAGAACTCAGTATTTATGACTTCTGGAGCCTGACAGATGCAACTTGCGATGACGCATGCAGTGACGACTGAACCCACGACATGAATATTTGAGATTCACAACGTGAATCCATAAAATCAGCCCTATAAATAGAATTCAAGGGGCAGCCGAGTTTGTTTGCTCAGTCTCTTCTCTTTCACTCCCGATACTCTCTCTAAGCCCTATTTTAACCCCTGAAGCCCCGGTATCATCCCGAGACCCGAATCGAGTCCCGAAGCCCGAAGATCGCGAGAAAGGAAATTCCTGAGCCGAAACTTTGCCTGCGAGAAGCCGGTTTTTGTGAAGATCTTCCGGATCTACCGAAGAATACTACTTTTACAAGCCGTAGTGCCGTCCGAGCATTGTCTAATCAAGTGAGTGTATAGTCCCTTTCATAACACGATTTTAATACAAGTATTGTTTGAATGTATTAAGTATATGTTTTGTGTGAGTGTATAGTTACTTTCTTCTAACACATAAATATTAAGTATTTGCTATGAAATACGTGCTATGTGTTAAAAAGTTGTTTGTTTATCTGAGATGAGTGTTGAATACGAAGTATTGACTATAAAATACGTGATATGTGTTAATAAGTTGTTTGTTTATATGAGATTGGTGTTGAATGCATGTTTGGTACATGTTTTAAATAAGTTAAACTGTATATGTGTTTTATATCTACTATTATGTTGGGGAAAACATGGGTATATAAATGATGAGGTGCGAAAGATGATTAAGAATAATATTGGCAGATGCACCAATAATGAATGTAATAATACTAGCAGATGCGCATTGGAATAATTTTGGCAGATGCACCAAATATAGAATGTCATAATACTAGCAGATGCACTTAAGGATAATATTTTCAGATGCGCCTAATAGTAAATGTCGTAATCCTGGCAGATGCATTAAAAGGATAATGTCGACAAATGTACCTAAAATAGAATGTCATAATGTCGGTAGATGCGCCTAATAATGTATGTTGTAATCCGGGCAGAGGCATTTAAAGGATAACCTTGGCTGATGCGCCTTATGTAGCGACGGATTTTGTGCCAATTCCTCAGGTCAATCCTTAGGGATGAATGATTGAATGATAGTTGATTCTTAGGGTAAAACATTAAGAATTAAAGAAGATAATGAGGATGTGTAATTGGGTTGATTGTTTGATGATTAAATATAATAATTATATTATTGTGGGTTGAAAACCCTATATGCTCACCAAGCTCCTAAGCCTGACCCTCTCAGTTTTCTTTGTATCACAGGTATCAATACGAAGACTTATTTCACAGAGAGAATAAAGGAGATGTAAATCATTAGTGTAATTAAATGTAAGTTCTGTTTATGCTTATGTGTCTGTATGAGAACATGACATCGCGAGATTTTGTTATAAATGAATATACACTTCTTTCATAAATGCTTTTGATAAAATCTTATCATATTTTATTTTGGGAATAAATTCCGCAACTCTTTTAATCAAAAGATTACTTTAATTTTATAAAAGAAAGCATAAACAAATCGGTCTTTTCTGGCCGTGAAATTGGGGATGTCACAGTTGCTATCAGAGCATTAGTTTAAGCAAACTAGGAATTTGTAGGAAATTTCTAGACTTAAACTTAGAATGTTAAGTAATGACCGTGAGAAGTGTGTCTAAAATATGTTAGGTAGTACACCTAAATTGACACAAACACTAGTTTATTTTAGGAATAATGCCTAAAATGCTTTTATATGCTAAATATTTTGTGTAATAGCTATATCAATGCTAGTATTTGTTCGGATCCATGGTCTGTTGCCGACCGGATCTGGAAACCTTATGTGTTTAGGATTCTAAGCGTATGACTACGATATTAGAACCAACATGTAAACGTTTCGGAGTGATAAGGGGATTTATACGTTTATCGTAAATGAAGCTTTCCTATCTTAAATTCTCGCCTAGTGACTGAATGTCTGCGTGGATGTACAAGAGGTCATGGTGAAGACTCATATGGAATTTAGTAAATAGAGGAGATGAAAAGGCTTATGATAGTGAATGACACTTATCGGTAGATATCGTAAGAGTGGTATCTAGCCTTTAGAATATATATGATAAAATAACCAGTACATTTAGGGGAGTGCGGTACTTTTGGAGTACACCTTCGATTGGCAGGATGATGGAAAGATTGGTGTAATTCTTGAAGTTGTCCCATCATCTGGAATTTCCATCATCAGCCGAGTTGAAGTAGAATTGATGATTGAAGATGCGCAATGAAGAAGTCCTAGTGGAGTCTAGGGAAAATTTTATGATTATTCAGAGACATTCGTATGTGTTAAATTGTTTCGCGATTTTCTTATATGGTTACTTGGTCGACTACAGGACAATACTTGGGACGAGTATGAGTAGGTGTGAAAGGTAGTAGATGCATATACTACTGGAAGCACAGGACTCACACTTGAATCAGGGAAGGTCACAAGGTTACCAAGAAGCTAGTGATTGATCTCGTTTTATTCAAGTATGTCGTTACCATTGTTTCAGTAGTGACTAAGAAGATGATTGATATTCTGACCCTATCGGTCATATCAAATTGAGTCCGACTACTAGGGGTGAGCATAACCGGGTACCCGCCTATTTTAGCCAGAACCAGAACCGCTCCCGGAACCGGCGGTTCTTAAGTTTTTGGAATTGGAACTGGAACCGCCTACACCGGTTCCTAGAAAATTAGAACCGCTCCCGGAACTGGCGGAACCGGGTACAGTTCCGGGTACCCGACTTCTTGAGTATTAAAACTTGTTATTGTATACATGTCATGTAAATTATGTACAGTAACCTATACAAACAATACAAGTACAAGATATAAAACCAAAAAAATACAAAAATTTGATCTTTTGAATAACAAGTTATTAAAAACATTTCCCACTTTTAAATAACACGATAGCAAGAGCCAACAAGAAAATACAAACTACTACAATATCAAAAGGAGGCTGAAATTGTAATTCATAAAATCAAAAACAATAACAATAAAAACAGCAAAAACAACAACAATAAAAAAACAACAACAAAAATCAGCAATAAAAACAGCAGCAGCAACACATAACAACAAAAACAACAATATCAAAAAACAGCAACAGTAACAATCAGCAGCAGCAGCAGCAGAAAAAAAGCAAACAACAACAAAGTTCATCCCAATCTGCAATTTATATCCATTTTTATTTATATAAACTTAAAACACACTCACACATAGATAAAACATAATAGAATACCTGGAACCTGATCAATAGGTCAATACAAACTTACTTGATTGTCAGTTTGTCCCTGGTTCTGGCATAAGGTGTTACAATTACCAATGCACCCCTGGACAACAAGAAGAATTGTTGATTCTTTTATGATTTATGTTTAATGAATATAAGACCAGTTACCTTTCTGAAAGGCGTTCCAGAAATAAGCGATAAGTGAGCTGAGGAGCTGCCCCAACAAATATGCCACCAACAAAATGCACAACAAATGTTGGCTCTGAATTTCTTGGTTTTAATACCCAGGCTCCCTGAAATTGTATAAATAACAACCCAAATAAATGATCATAGATGACACTAAAATCACCATCATTTACATTTAATTCTCTAGTTGTTATGTTTTATTGGTCCTTATGTGCCTAGAAAGTGAGATGAAATATAAGAAGAATTCAATTTATTATTTTTTTATTTAAAAAGGAGGTCTAACCAGCTTACAATCTTGCTTTCCCCGGTCATATTGGATTCATCAATGGCTAGAGAGTGACCTTTTATTAGGAGACCATCAGCAGGGACCTGTAAGAAACCTGGAAATTCAACAATTAATAAAGAGTTGAACATGTCAAAAGTAACTTAAAAACTTTATGAAAATTTATTAGCCTACCTGATCACCTATTTTAAGAGGTATTACATCACCCAAAACTACATCATATATTGAAATCTTCTCTCTTCTCCCATCTGTAGTTATCTGCTTGAATTTGCATATGTTACGACAACTAAAGGTAGAATACTAATAATATTTTACTCATTAACATAACACAAAAACCTCTATCTGTATATTTCTCTTTTCCTCATTTAAATTATGAAATTGCAGAGATTGTCTATAGTCACTAGTCGATATTATAGTTCACAAAACAAAAGGGATTAGTAGCCATTCAAAAAGATGAAGAACATGTGTTTAAGCAGGTATAATCGAAAAATCGATGGAAGTAACAGATTGAAAACTTCATAAATAGATGATATAATCGAAAATTCGAAATTGTAATAGACTAATAGATGCATTAATTGATAGAAGTAACAACGATGGTCGACCATAGACTAATAAATGTTATAATCGAACTCGAGTACTCGACCACAAAGCACAAAATGAAGTGATCTTACCAATTGATTAAACATTTGACTGAACCTTCGATTAAACCAAGTGAACTAATCTTACCAATGGATTTGATTACTGTAAAAACTGATAAAAAAAAGAACTTAAGAACAAATGATACTCGATGGTCGGCGTGAACAGGAGTCAAGCAAAACAAGTGAATCAATTGAACACGGAGTCGAGCGAAACCAACGAATCAAATTTACCAGAGGGAAGAGAAACGGTGAGAGTGAGCTTGTGTCTTTCGATTGATAGAATATAGTATAGGGTGTCAGCGGTTGTTTGTAAGAAAGAATCAAACAAAGTGACAAACCCTAAAACAATTGCCCTAATTTTTAAAAACAAATCAACAAAATATAGAAATTAAGTATATATTTTTTTATAAATAGGCGGGTACCCGTCGGTACCGGTTCCGGATACCCGGTTTTGGAACCGGAACCGGCGAGTATCCAGCGGGTATCGGTTTCGTAAAAATAAGAATTGGAACCGAAACCCCTTAAGGCGGTTCTGCAACATTAGGAACCGGAACCGAAACCGCTTAAGGCAGTTCCAGTTCTAGAACCTGCAGTTTCGAGACGGTTCCGATTCTGAAAGCAGGTACCCGCTTCCGCTACTCATCCCTACCGCTTACGATGAGTTTGTTATGTGGTTCATAGAACCAAGTTAGAGGTAGCATCTGACTCAAGTCAGAAGATTGAAATCAATGCGATCGATAGCATCACGCTCGTTGTTAAGAAAGCTTGTAGCTAGAAATGCTACATGTAAAAATGTGATTATATCATATTAGAATATGAAGGAAGGTATATTCCATTCCGGAATTTAACTATATGATACTTGAGTCTAAGCGTTGAATCATACGATGAGAGGTCATTAGAACACGACCCATCGGTCTGTTACAATAGATAAAGGAAATTACTTATCCTAAGAATAAGAAGGAGTCCTCAATAAGGATTTATTTTGTAACTCGAAGGTTACAATTGAAAGTACAACATAGTACGAAGAGCAAATTCAGGATTGAGCACTACTTGCTATCGAGAAGTCCAAGAGTTAGATACTCTTTCGAGGAAACATAGAACTTACAGTTATTACCTAGGATGAAGAGATAACGTATGGAATCATTATACAAGTCCTATTTCGTTGATGATTCCAGGACGTAATCATCCTAAGGGGGATATAATTGTTACGCCCGTAGATCCGGACTATTCAATTTGAGACGATAAGTTTCAAAAATGACATTTTTATGGAAGATTATTTAGAAAGGGTAATCTTAACTAAGTTTTAGTATATGTTACAAGGATTCCATAAATATAAAGAACGCCGACATCCGAGTTATAACGAAGAAGTTATGACATGTCGAAGTTTCGTGACAGAACTGGCACAACACAGCGCGACGTAAATAGTGAATTTATGTTAGAGCAATATTTGGCCTTAGCAATCTAAATGAAAGTCATGGAAAACGTTAAACCGAGAGCATGCATAAAAAGAACGTCTAAATCTGACTTCGTATGAGGAAGTTATGATTTTTCGAAGTTTCAGCATTAGCAGTATGCAGCCCGAAACTCGAGATTGAGATCGAGTGATATTTAGCAAAAACTTTCTAAATAAGAATTGAAGATCTCATCAATAGTAGTCCAACGATAAAAATACAGACGAAAACGGAGTTCAGATGAAGGAGTTATGAATCTCGAACGGAGTTTTCCTGTCCCGGCCTACTAAAAATAATATATTTTTAATATATTAAAATTAAAGTCAAAATTAGCCAACAAATTCTAAATGAAAGTTGCAGATCTTGTTTTTACCTACGCGTGGATATAAAGAATGTCGAAAACAGAGTTCGTATGCGAAAGTTATGAATTTCTAAAGTTCGGGGTGCGAAACCCCAAAATTGTCGTGTTAAAAATACAGACGAAAACGGAGTTCAGATGAAGGAGTTATGAATCTCGAACGGAGTTTTCCTGTCCCGGCTTACTAAAAATAATATATTTTTAATATATTAAAATTAAAGTCAAAATTAGCCAACAAATTCTAAATGAAAGTTGCAGATCTTGTTTTTACCTACGCGTGGATATAAAGAATGTCGAAAACAGAGTTCGTATGCGAAAGTTATGAATTTCTGAAGTTCGGGGCGCGAAACCCCAAAATTGTCAGAGTTCACGACGTGAATACAGTGTTCACAACGTGAAATCAGTATTTATGACTTCTAGAGCCTGACAGACGCAACTTGCGATGATGCATGCAGTGACGACTGAACTCACGACGTGAATATTTGAGATTCACGACCTGAATCCATAAAATCAGCCCTATAAATAGAATTCAAGGGGCAGCCGAGTTTGGTTGCTCAGTCTCTTCTCTCTCACTCCCGATACTCTCTCTAAGCACTATTTTAACCCCCCGAAGCCCTGGTATCATCCCTAGACCCGAATCGAGTCCCGAAGCCCGAATATCCCGAGAAAGGATTTTCCTGAGTCGAAGCTCTGCCTGCGAGAAGCCGGTTTTTGTGAAGATCTTTTGGATCTACCGAAGAATACTACTTTTACAAGTCGTAGTGCCGTACGAGCATCGTCTAATTAAGTGAGTGTATAGTCCCTTTCATAACACGGTTTTAATACAAGTATTGTTGGAACATATTAAGTACATGTTTTGTGTGAGTGTATAATTACTTTCTTCTAACACATAAATATTAAGTATTTATTATGAAATACGTGCTATGTGTTAATAAGTTGTTTGTTTATCTGAGATGAGTGTTGAATATGAAGTATTGACTATAAAATACGTGATACGTGTTAATAAGTTGTTTATTTATTTGAGATTGGTGTTGAATGTAATAATACTAGCAAATGCGCTTAGGAATAATTTTGGCAGATGCACTAAATAGAGTATGTCATAATACTAGCAGATGCGCTTAAGGATAATATTGTCAGATGCGCCTAATAGTAAATGTCGTAATCCTGGCAGATGCATTAAAAGGATAATGTCGACAAATGTACCTAAAATAGAATGTCATAATGTCGGCAGATGCGCCTAATAATGTATGTTGTAATCCGGGCAGAGGCGTTTAAAGGATAACCTTGGCTGATGCGCCTTATGTAGCGATGGATGTTGTGCCAATTCCTCAGGTCAATCCTTAGGAATGAATGATTGAAGGATAGTTGATTCTTAGGGTAAAATATTAAGAATTAAATAAGATAATGGGGATGGGTAATTGGGTTAATTGTTTGATGATTAAATATAATAATTATATTATTGTGGGTTGAAAACCCTATATGCTCACCAGGCTCCCAAGCCTGACCCTCTCAGTTTTGTTTGTATCACAGGTATCAATACGAAGACTTATTTCACTGAGAGATTAAAGGAGATGTAAATCATTTGTAATTAAATATAAGTTTTGTTTATGCTTATGTGTCTGTATCGGAACATGACATCGCGAGATTTTGTTATAAATGAAAATACACTTCTTTCATAAATGCTTTTGATAAATTCTTATCATAATTTTTTTTGGGAACAAATTCCGCAACTCTTTTAATCAAATGGTTACTCTGATTTTATAAAAGAAAGCATAAACAAATCGGTCTTTTTCTGGCCGTGAAATTGGGGATGTCACCGGCACCAATGTCGGCCCATGGTTTGTTATGCTTAGTATGCTTGTTGTCTGCATGAATCTTGCATGTGTTATGTGTTTTATGTTTACCGAGCGAGGTTTGATGCCATGCGGGGCCCGATTCTAAGCGGTGCCAGATGAGTATATTGTATGTTAGTTATCTGTATGTGTTTTTATGATTACCGGGTATGACCCAATGATGGGCAGGACCCGAAGGCTAGTATGTATGTTATTTATCTATGTGATTATGACATGTGTTGTGTGTTTATATGTTTATACCGTGCGGGGCCTGATGACTAACATATATTTATACCGAGTGGGGCTTGATGTCGAGCGGGGGCCAATGTCGGGTGGGGCCCGATGCCGAACAGGGTGCGATGATGGGCAGGGCCCAATATATATTAATATGTATGGTATGTGGTATTTTGGAGAACGCACTAAGCTTTGTGCTTACGGTTTTCAATTTATGTTTCAGGTACTTCTATTTTCAAAAGAAAGGGTCCGGCTTGATCGCAACGCATCCACCCATGTTTCCCTATTATAATTATTTTAGGATTGTACTATGATAACTGTTTTCTGTCAAAGTACTTTTGAATATTTAGCAAATGAGTATTGAATGTTGACTTAAAAGATAATTAATGTTTTGGTTGAATTAAAATCAAAAATTTTTACTTTATAATTTAGCGATGTTACAATTATCAGTGACATCATGTGAATTATGTATTACTAGGGATCTTCATACTCACCTTTACTTTTAGTAATGGCTTGTCATGTGCTTTCACTAGTGGTGAGTTTAAATATCAAACATTTGAATATCTTTTACCAGTTTATATGTTGTAGCAAATGCACTCAAAACCATGTCTGCTAGGTTTATTGCACATTTTGTCATTTTTGGTTTCCATTTCTTACCATGTTTGGAAAACCATATTTGTTTGTGATTTTTAAGGAATGATGTGAAAGTATTAACGTAAGGAAGTTGATTTTGAAAGTAGTGATTCTAAGTTCTAAGAACTGTGGTAGTTGTGAGTCTGACTTCATTTATATTTTGGGTGGAAAAGAGAGGATATGACTACAGTTTCTTGGGTCCTTTCTTATTTGGTGGTCTTTATTGTGTTTATCGTATTTTCCATCATTTATGTTTGTAACACTCCTCCAACCAATGTTGTTACATAACATGTTTTGGGTTCTAATTAACCAATTTACTAAATTACTATCTATGTGGATATTTATCCCTATGGGAAAGAGTTACAGGTTAAATTTGGAATTTTATCTAAGAAAATCTTTCGTTACTCATCGTGTTGATGCACAAGGTTCTGAAGCAAAAGCTGCAGACTTTGATGATGACAATGGTGGATGTTGATAGGTTAAATGTTTGATGTGGACATCCATGCATCTCCTTACGAAAACAGACCCTTATTGTTTGGTTTTGTTTGTTTAGGTTGTTGATGTTAATGTGAAAATTGAAGAATATGGGAAAGTAACATCCATAATAATGCGTGATTCCACACTGAAGAAACATTACTTAAATCTGAAAATGAAGTTATGTGTGATTGCAATTAGTTATCTGCTCGTCACTGGATTGTAAACATCTTTTCCCTTTTAAATAATTATATGCATCTTTTTTGTATATTATTGTTGAATTGTGTTTTGTTTGTGTATGTAGATTAGAAACACTCACACTGTGAATAAGACTAGATAATTGACCAAGTAAAAGCTGGTACTATGTTTAAATTGCTTGCCATGAGCAGGTTGAGAGGCTAAGTTTTTTAGAAGAGCTAAATTTCTTAAACATAATCTTTGGGTTACACCATATGCACTTGATGATAATTTTCTTGGAAGAGAGTTTCCTAAACAGAATCCATGTGTTGGTGAAGGCTTAGCCTCATGGGTCAAGCAAAATCGTTCTCTTGAGTTTTCGGAAACTGATATCGTGCTTTGGGCAATAATACAAACTAATTCTTTATTTTAATTTGATTTATTTATGGGAAAATTCCTTTGAAATTGATTTGACCATCACCAT